AAGGGCCATTTTGCATGAAAAAAAAAAAAAAATTCAAATAGCAGACAATAATTTACACTTTAAAAAATATAGGGTACTATTCGGTTTCGAGGGCTGTAAAAAATCGCCAAGCTATTCTTGATGCCAATGCTGCTTCGGACACCCATAATCCAGAATGATCTATAATCCGGACCTCAAAGCTACAAAATTTCTGCGCATGCGTGGCTGCGAATATGCGTGTGCGCGTGCGCAAAGTACGTTTACGAATGCGCGTTTAATGTATAACGAACGGTAGAAGCTAAGCTAAAATTATCTAATTCAGTTAATGTTGCAGATTGAATTGTTCCTTCGAATTGGATTCGTCTTATTATTTTTTGCAGACTGTTAGAGCAAGCTTGAACTTTCGATTATGTCAAATAGAATTTTTGATATATATTTACTAATATGTAAAGGATCTACAAAGCGAAAGTATGTTTTGAGAATTTTTGATATTTATTTACTAATATGTAAAGGATCTACAAAGCGTAAGTATGTTTTGAAGTCCATTAAACAAAAAGTGGAATTGCTGCAAAAAATGGATAAAGACATATCCTTTGTTTATCTAAACTTTAACGTTTGTTTATCTTTAACGCCGCGGTGCGCGCAATGAATTGGAAGTTGAACTGTCAGCACTATCCTAATCTTCAGGGCAGATGTTTTTATTTTATTTGGCTTATAATTCCTTACTAAATGTAGTATTTCATCTCGTTGTACTCCATCTTTGATATGATTTAAATCAAATTCCTCGTCATTATAATTCGCTTCCGATAGCGAAGAAAGTGACAGAGGTTATTAAAAACGAAAAAATCTCGATTGACAAATTAGTCGGTATTCTCGACACAACAATTATAGGACTTGAACAGCGGAACTTTGTAACTGAACAAGAATTATGTTTGTTTATAGAATTAAAGAGAATGTATTATCACATAAAAAACGAAGCAACTTAAACAACTTACATTGAAAGAAATGTTTAATAAAGTAAAAAATAAATATTAAGCTTTTTTTTTGTAAATTTTTATACCCTTTAGATCATAATTGTTCTTTATTTCATATATAACGGTTTCATATTTTTAATTTTATAATTTCTGCATGCCATCTTACCAGATTTAAACTGATGATCTATAATCCGGAAAAATCGATAATCCGGAATCGCCGAAGTCCCGAGGAGTCCGGATAAACGACTTTTGACGGTATAATAGTAAATAACTATTTAAGATTGATGTTTTAATTTAGATGAAAGGTTAATTTCATATAATACTTTTTTGTTATTATAATTTACATGAAAAAGGCTAAATATGACTGAATGGAAGCATAAGAGTAAATAACTATTTCAGATCATTATTATAATTTCTATAAAAATTGCTAAACATAACTGAATGGATGCCTGCATTGCTATTTCGCTACCGGCTTATCGCTAAAGCATAATTTCATCTCGTTGGTTGTTCAAATGTAATTTTCTATAATGAGTGATGCCTTTTCATTGAAAATATTCTCGTTAAAGTACAGAATCACTCACTTATTTGTTTGCTGCTTTTTAAAAGGGTAAAAACAATTGGATTTTTGTCTATTTTCTTTTACTTTTTAAGTGAAAATAAGTCAATGTGTACATAGATAAAGTCAAGGGTGTGCGCAGTGCCATTTTTGTGCAATTCTAGGATATTTTTTTAAAGTGAAAATAGGTCGATGTGCACATGGATACCGAGTATGTGCAATTCTTAAAAACGCGTCAAGCAGTGGGTGATTCTGCACTCTAACCAAAATTCTATTGCCAATTTTTCGTCATGGGCAATTCCCAAATTGTTAAATCCATACGATATAAAAAAGGATTTAAAATCAAAAAAGGATTTTAAAATTAAACTAGTATTTCAATAGCATCTTTAGAAATATAGAAGTATATAAACTTACGCAATTTGAAATCAGCGCATACACTAGATTTGGTGCTATTAAATGGGTGCATTTTTTTATGTCCCTTGAATCTGAATTGTACCAAATATAGCTGAAGCTAAAACATTTTTTTCTAAGCAGGCAATTTTTTTTTATAGCAAAGCAAATTCATTTAAAAATGTGCAAACAGCTTCTCTAAAACAGACTTTTTAAATCAATACTGCCTCTATTACAGTCAAATGAACTCGAATTATTCAACGTATTCGCATTTTACGTATTTTACGTATTCGCAGTCTGAGGCAATATGAAGTCCAGTAAATTCTATTCATGAGGCAAGCTGAGAATGAGCCATCTTGTTAAGCCCATTCTCCTGCTATTGGATACACTGGTAGCTCAGTTCTTTTTGTGTAATCAGTATCATTAAGGATCTACTAGAATGAATGCATAGTTGTCATAAAGATATTTTTTACAGCATTTTTAAAACAATGTATGAAGGTGCCATTTTTTCCTACAACCCAACAGTCTGTATCATGAAACAGATACAACTGAAATAATATACGAGATTTAAAGTTTAGGAAAAAGTAGATACCTTGAAAAGAAATGCAGACATTTGACATTTATAGGAAATGTGGCTCATATCATAATGCAATTTCTTATTCTTAAAGGTCATTAATTAGATTTTGATGGAAATGAATTTCATGTCTTCACAATAATTTTGCCTTGTGACTATTTTCCAACGATATTCCATTATTCCACTGTAGGTTTGTGGGAGATTTATGTAACCAGTTTATGTACCCAGTGTTTTTAGTTTCAGGATATTCATTAAGCAGGTTTTTCTGATTGTAGAGACATGCATTATCATCATTCGTAAAAAGAGACATTGGTGCTTTACCTTTATCTGCCTGCAGTACCGTAAAATCAAAAGTGCACATAATATGATATAATAACACATTACAATTATTAATAAGACAATGAGAAAAATTAATTTAATTATAAAAAAAGAGGTAGAAGGGGCATTGGTCGTGTCAATTAGTATTTATTTCAGGTGGAAACTGTTTGCCTGTTGCCTCTGTAATAGAGTCAAAACAATTCCTCTTTCTTGCTTCCCTCTCCAAATAAATTCTGACAGATAAATAAATAAATAATAGGCTGATAATAAATGAATGACTAAAGTAATAAAAATAATGGCTGAGGTAAAAAATGGCTGCCAAAACATAACGAGATACAATTGCCAAATTTGCAGGCAGATAAAGGAAAAGTACTGAGACATCCACATGCATCTCTAAAAAGCTTTGGATAGATTTGTAGACTGAATCTTGATGTACTAGAGAACTGATCAATATTTTTTTCCATACCATCATGATACTACAGTAATTATCATATTACACTATTATTAAGGAGGAAATTTTATATTTCTGTCTCTTTTAGAATTAAATATCAAACTGAATCCTTTTGCTGAAGAGAACATAAATGTATTATAGGCTCTGCTGTTATGTTCAGTGCATCAGTTCAGGCTGTTTCTCTTTGTTGAGAAATCAGTAAAACTAGCTATTGGCTTTCTGGTGTAAAAGTCTTGTTAATTTGCTGTGATGTTAAAGTTCTAATGGTGATTGCAATTGTAGTACTCAACTATAGGCTAGTAGCTGTAGCAACCATCTCTTAGTGGTAGAAATTGAGTTTGAAAGTCAGTTTTTATTCTATGACCACATACCATCTTAGCAATAGTTTCAGAATGTGAATTGGTGCTATCCTGGAATGTTCAGCTATCTTGCTATTTCTGTTTATTGCTGACCCCGCATCTGAACTGCTGACATCTCTTATCACAGGTGATATTTTGGTGTGATAAAAAGCTATTTTGATTTGATGAACATCGAAAGCAAACTATTTATACAGAAGTTTGGGAGAGAGGGGATATACTTTGCAGAGTTCTTTAGATAACATCATGACAGTATTTGCATTTCAGAGTGGATTAATCAAATTGAATTGAATAATGATAAATAGATTTACTTTTTGCTTACTGTATGGAAAATTAAAACATTGATTTGATTTCTTCTTGAATTATTGTTTATGAATATAGTTTTGGATATTAGAGTATTATAGTAGCTATTTTTAAGTTTTATAATATAGCATAATTTAAAATTTATGTCTTCTGAAAGCATGTACTTTGAATAACTTAAAAGCTATTCAGCTGTAAGAGTAAGGTATGAAATGTATTTTTATTATTTAAGCCATATGCAGTTTTTTTTAATATTTTATTATTAACACCACAAACGTTTTAAAAGCTCCAAAATTCTCAACATTTGAGCACATATGTTTGAAGCTGTTAAGTGTATGTATGTTTACCTGTTATTATTTGTTATAAATTAATCTTCTCGGCAGCATGACCACTTTTATCCATTCAGAAGATTTCTTGGCACTTTGTTGTTATTTTCTTGCTTATACGTTATTTCATTATTTACAACAGCTATTTTCTGTTTTTATCTAGTTATCATCTTAATGAATGGATTATCGTGAAAAAAGAACAAAGTAAATAATTATACAAATCTAATTAATAAAGACAATGTAAACACTGTTTCCCATAATCTAATCCAAAAAGCCAGTTAAACAGGAGGTTAATTGGTAGGTACATATTATACAACCACCTTAGTAGAATTTGTCAAGTTTTTAGAATGTACCATTCTGATGGATTCACTTTTTCAGGTCATTATACTATAATTAATCTTAGGAGATAATAAATATAATCAATATTATTTAGTGTATATATATTATATACATAAAGTGATATTTTTTGCCTTAAACGTAGTTTTAAAAATATAAGCTTGTAGAATATGCTAGCAATGGAACAAAGTGGTAAAAGTAATCCTTATATATATATATATATATATAGATGTTTACCAGTTTACGATAAATATCGATAGTTTAAAAATCTCTGGGGGGGGACAGCTTGCAATTGATAAGTAACTTTTACCTTTTCATTTGTAAAAAATCACCAAATTGCATCAAGATGGTTGTGTTAATATGTAAGTAACAGTTAATTTTTATATGGTTTGTAATGTACTTTTTTATGCTTAATAAATAGAAAATGTTTTATTCTGTAGGTTTATAGTGCAACAAATGCAAATCAAAAAGAAAAATATGAAGCTGATCTCAAGAAAGAAATTAAGAAACTTCAGGTGAAAGGCTTTAGTTTCTCCAATTTTTGTGAAATTAAGTAACAAAAATGATATTTTTAAATGAAAATATTCTAAAAAATATGTGATAATTTTATATGAATGCAAATTTTTTTTTTAAACCATGAAAAAGTAAATTTCAGACCTAATTGTAATTTTACAAAATGCTCTCTATCTTTTATTGAGGAAATTTATAATTAGAATATACAAATTATGTAAAAATGAGAATTAGACTTTAAGAAAAGTCAATATGATTTCATGGCAAAGTGAATTCTTGGATTCATTTTCTGCTATCTTCAAAGGTGTTTCAAAAATGGCATCAGAATGGAGTAATGAATAATAATAAAATTCAGAATTGTACCTAATAAATCTATGGAGGTATTATCTCTATCCTGTGATTTATAAAATAATAATATATATATATATATATTGGGGGGGATGAAAATATTTTTGTTCTGTTATCAGGACTGAATTCAGAAATTTATGTATGCATGTATGTGTTCCTGTATGCATGTATGCAGAAAAGCATGTAAGCATTCCTGTATGCATGTAAGCAGAAATGTATGCACATACAAAAAGCACATCCATTAATACATCTCTGAATCCGGTCCTGATAACAGAACAGTACCAATATTTCATGTGTTTGATTGTAGTTTTTAAAATTTCTGCAAGGTCCTTTTATTTGTTTCAACTTATCCAGTGAGTTTTTGAGATATGTGGTGGACTGGTTATTTAGGAAATCAAATAATATTGCTCGATACAATATAAATCCGAATGAAGTAAGAATGTTTTTGATTAATGACAATATTAATGATGATAGCATTTCAATATGAAGCTGAAATATCATCTTTATGAGATGAAATATGTTATTATGTGTTTTATTATTATTATTATTATATATATGACTATATAAACAGAAAATGGTTAAAAACCATAAAAGAATTTTTATACTTATCAGACAAGATGAATTCTTCAACCAATTGCTGTTGGCCAAAGCTATACTTATTTATGAAAATTTGAATTGAAAATCTTGAGCTTTTGTTATGTTAGAGAAATGATCATTGTTGATAAAAGTTTGCTTTGTAGAGATTATCTTAGAATGGGTGCAGTCAGCATTCCCTGAATGTTATCAAAGCCATGGTGTGTTTTCCCAGAGCAGGTGTGATATTACTTCTAAATGAGAGAGAATCTCAGTTAAGAATTCAGTGGGATCATTTTGTATGGGGTTACTATGTAGTTAACTTTCTAAGTTGACAGTCATTTCAAATTCTTTGTATTTTTAAGGTGCACTATTTTTGAACATTATTTTGATGAATATTTATACTCTGTAATAAGAATTATTTTGAAAGTGCGAGTAGTATGTACTTGTTGAATGTCATAATGTGCCTTAAAATTTGAAATTTCATCTTAAAAAATATATTGAATAAATGGATTATTGTTGTTAAAAGAAGGGGGGATTTAGTTAAAAGAGTTCTCTGAAATAACATTCTGATATCATTACTGAAGATGTAAATTTCTGTATTCTGAATTGTGAAACACAATTATAAAGAACGATTTAAATTGAAATGAGTACATAATGAAATAATGTTAAGCTTATTGTGTATCTTAATTTTAAATTAGTTTCCTTCATTATCATTTCCATCTAATTTAATTTACAGATTTCTTAGTTTAATTTAAATATAATTTAGTTACTTTATACATCTTGTATTTCTAAATGTGTTTATTAAGGAAATAAATTTAAACGTATTTCTAAACCTTTTATTAAAATTTTATTTAAATATTGTCCTAAAATGAAAGAGGTTTATTAAGTTATTTAATATTCTTTTTAACTTTCTTGTGTTTTAGTGGTTTTTCTCATGTGAAATAATTTTGGTGTATGTGATTATGGCAAAGCCTCAAGAGCTATCTGCCTGAGGGCAGGGATGTCTTCGTGGAGGACTTTCTAAGGGAAACTGGCTCGTCGACATATTAAACATGCAGAAAACTACGAAAACGCCCATGCAGCCAGCCCGTTTGACCTCTTACTAAAATACCAGTGTTCAGTAACTTTATTTGTTCAGTAACACTTGGCTGCTGGTTGGGCTCGACATAATTATGACCAAGTTCTGTTGGAAGCTTCTCTTATGCAGATAGCTCTCACATGCTTTGCCTTAACTAATTGATTAGCTAACCAGTAGAAATGAATAGATTGAAGTAAAGTAATTTTATGTGATTTGAGTTCTCTTGTAATACATAGTATCAAAAAAAAAATTTGATATGTATCATGTTATCCTTTTATACAATTTATTTTTTCCTTTTTAATGAATGTATATTTTTAATGTAGAGGTTACGAGACCAAATCAAGACTTGGTTGACATCTAGTGATATAAAAGATAAAAGAACTTTACAAGAAGCTAGGAAGTTAATAGAAACAGTGAGTCGACCATTCCCTTTTAATAGGTTTTATTTTGTAAGATTCAAGATTATTTTTACCAAACTTTTCCAAAAGTGATTATGTTATAGTCTTATATTCTATTTATAATAAAATTTTCTTGTTACTGATAAGCAAAATAAGTTATCAGTAAAAAACATTTGTGGTAGAAGTTTTCAGGTTCTATAAAAATTGCTTCCCAAAATTCTGAAAGAAATTAATTGTAAAGTATTGTTATAAGCCAAATATTGATGACGATATATAAAAATCACTTTTGGATTTTCATCCTTTTTTTTAAAAAAAATTTATCTTGATTGCTACTTTTTTCAGTGTTTATTGTCCTATTGCAATAATTGTTTTGCTGTTTTAATCTGTATTTCCTAGGAGATAATTTTTGATTTATGTATTCTCTATTTTACTTCAGTATGTTTACATGTTTTTATCTCACTGTAAACATTATTTCGTCTGAATATTGATCCAGAGCTTGTTTTCTTTTAGCAAATGGAAAGGTTTAAAGTTGTTGAAAGAGAAACAAAGACCAAAGCATATTCAAAAGAAGGCTTAGGTGCAGCACAAAAACTTGATCCTGCCCAAAAAGAAAGAGATGAAATTACATCATGGCTTACTGTATGAATTTTTTTCTTATATCAAATATTTTTAACAATGCTAATATTCCATTAATTTTGTTATAATTAATTTTATTATCTCTGGAATAGTCTTATATTTCATTTATCTACTTTTTCAGAAAATGAGTGATTAATTAAAACATTATTTTCAAAATCTTAGATATATTACAAAAGCTTAATTCTCCACTACTGGTTATAGGTAACATGGTAAAAAACCTATAAGAAGATTTAAATAGTGAAAAAAGTATGAGAGGCATCCAAAAAATAGGTTTCTCTGTCACCATCTACAGAAAGTTAATGTAATTTCATGGGAAAATTTATTGCAATATAAATAAAATTTGTGTAATTACTTGTCAAACATAATCAGTATCAAAATTAAAACATTTGTCACACCATGAGACAAACTTTTGAATCCTCGTGTCATTGAATTTTTACAGCTTGGCCTGTGTATGTCATCCGTCTTCACCTCTATATTGCTTTGAAAATGTTGGCTGTGCAGGAATTACTTGAAATGTAAGAAAAAATGTAGATTAGTAGAAATGAGATTGGGACAGTGGGTGCTTGATTACCTCCCAGCAGACCTTTTTAAACTAATTTGTTTTGTGATGAGCTATTAGTTTAAGCACAATCATGCATCAAAACAGAATCAAACAAACAAACAGCATCAAACAGTGGGTGTCGAATGCACCACATTGCTTATTACCCATTACAGTTTTCACAAACTTTTTTTAAAATGGTCAATGTTCACACTGTCACTTACACTGAGGAGCAAAGCGAGCAGGTTGGCTTTTCTATCCCAGGACATTATGCATATTATTTTGTGTGCCAACATAAATTGCTTGAATTTTTTTTTTTTTTTTGTCTGATATGTGGCACAAGTACATTGTTTGCTGCTTGCATTTTAGGGTATTACACAACTTGTGTTTTACTAATAGCAAGATTCAGTCCAGAAAATCATCACCGTTATTACAGCACCAGTGCAGAATTGTCAATGCTGGGCTCATGCACTTTGCTTTTTGTTTTGATGGCCTTGCTTCGGCATCCGTGTTGTGCATGATTTCGAGAAAAAACTGGTGCCTTATGATAATTTTATAAAACAAGGAAGGGGAAATCTGAGGAAAATGGCAGCAAAATTCCATAAATGGAAGAGCAATTCCCCAAAATATTCTGCTGCACTTGTTGCACAATATCATCCATAATGACTAAGGACTGATGACTATACTCATGCACATTTTGTTGAGCATCTGAAAATTGAGTACATCAGCAATGCAGCATCTGCTCTCTCAAGCTTCGTTCAGACGGGGGCGTACAGGCCATAAGTAGTTAAAGCCGAGCTCCGTTGCCAAGGCAACCAGTCTGTGCTACGTCACAAAATCTGGTTTAGGACTCGGGGCATAGGGTTCAAAGTTTTCACTTTAATGCCGAGTTTGGATAAGCGTCGCCCAATCAGAGCGAAGCTAAAACGAAACAGCGTTCTACAGAAGATTTTGCTGTTACAAAACAAGCAGAGCGAACGTGGGAAATCAATCGAGCAGGACAACGACGCGGGAAAGTTGTAGACACGTCCACGCATGCGCAAATTTAGCTTTTCTCATTGGCCACGGCTTTACACACCGTTCTCACAAGTGTGAACGGAATTCCCGTATTTTATGCCCTTATGACTACGCCTCTATGACCTTTATGCCGCCGTCTGAACGCAGCCTCATGGTGCCTGGCTTATGCTGTAGACCAGGAGTTATCAACCAGGGGCATAGCTTCAGAGATCTGTCTGTTATTTAACTGTTAAATATTTAATTTTTAGTTTATGGATATAAAAAACTAGTTTTATTCAAGTTTTGGTATTTTTGTATAATTTTGTTCTATACTTTTTGTTCTTTAATTTGTAACAACATTTTCTATAATTTTTGTTCTTTAATTTGTAAAACCTGTTAAAAAATATATAAACCTAAATAAATGTGTATATGTATTTTTCAAGTTGTGGGAAGGAGGGGGGGGATGATTTTCTAGCAATGATAAATAGGATGCAGGGGTGCAATATGGTTGAGAACCACTGCGCTGGATGGATCTAATGATGAATTTTAATTGATGCTATACTATTTGCAGCAAAGATCTTAATTGCAGACTGAACTTTGTTGTCAGTAAGGGATGGTACAAAAGCTGCTATTTTAAGCTGCTACAGCGATGCTACTGTGAACATTGGGAAATGCCACTTAGTGCACATGATTGCCACAACTGGAACCTGCCATGCAGTGCATTACCCTTCCTCAGTACCATGATCTGTGGATGTGAGAGAAATTTATTTCTTGGTTGTTTATCATTCATATAAAGTGTTATAACATGGATCAATGGCAATCAAAAGATTCTGCTTGCATTGATCAGTACAGATAAGGAAGACAGAAGTTTGATTAGTTATCTGAATTTCAACAAAAGATGGATGTTATATTTTGTGTTTCGTTTCTGTAAGTTTTTAAAAAACTATTTTTTGTTTAGTAATTACAGCATAATAAAACTTGACAAAATCTACCATTTTCTATCATGGCTGCTATATATCAAGAGGCCATTTAAACTTGCATATTCTGAATTTATAGTGTAATTTTTGATAAGGTTATGTTAATAATTTTTATGTTTGACTAAATAATTATTTTTTTCTTTCATGTTTGTTTCTGTATTCACGGAGTATTTTATTAAATTGAAAGATGCATTGGGTACTTGTTAATTATTTGGTACCTACTAATATATTGTGAGTAATCTATTGGTACCTATCCACAATGGAATCTGGGTTTTTGATTTCTGATGCATATTGTTTTGCAGTCACATTCATAATCACATTACACAGATTATTATTCTCTTCTGCTCTATCAACTCTGATAAATAAGGTGAAGTGATGATGAACAATACCATGTTGCAGTTTATTCCTTTGATCCCCCTCATGCATTTCATTACTTGCATGTAGCCACCAAACTTAAGATTAAGGTTGATATATATAATTCATAATAATTTATAATAAGAAAACTTTCCATATACCATCTACAAGAAACACAAATTCAATTTAAAATCATGAATGAAACAATTTTTAGTCGGAATTTAAATTAGCATTTTAAAAAGTAATTTCAATCTCCTTGTTTAAAAGTGCATATATAAGAAGAAGGTGCACATATAAAGAAGGTGCATATATAAAGAAGAATGAGCTATCTCCACTCATCCGTTGCTTTTCTGAAAGAGAAAACATTTTTTGAAAAATTTCAAATAAAAATCTTTGCAGAACAACTTCTAGGGCTACTGCTCATTACAGTCAAAATTCATGGGTGGTATTTTTGATGATGTATCAGCAAGTGCTGAGTGTTGTTTTGAAAATTGATTGATTTCTTAGTGAGTGAATCATGTTATAAAGCATATTTGTTTACTTTTTGAAATGTGTTTATTTAAGTAGTTATTTTATTTTAGGCTTGCATAGAAAGTTTAAATATCCAAGTTGATAAATTTGAATCTGAAATGGATACTATAAATTTTAGTTTAAAGAAGAAAAAAAATGATAAAGAAGT